AGGGGACACGGGGAGCAAAGCCACAGCAGCAGTGGGGTACTGCACCTCTGAGGTTCTGCTCTGGCAAAGCCTCAGATGTGCGGGACCCCGCCATCGCTGCGGCTTTGCTCCCCGTGCCCCTGGTCTGCTGGAAACGGTCCCCAGCAGACCAGGGGCACCGAGAGCAGCTTTTCTCGCCCCGGAGGTCGAGGTGGCGGACCGCTGCCTGCGAGCTCCAGGGCGAGAAAGCCCCCTTCGTAAGTGAGGATCCGACTTAAGTCGGATCCGCGTAAGTCGGGGACTGCCTGTATTTAAGACTTTGCCATAAAAATATTTAGACAAACAGAAAGTATTTATAAAATATTGAAGAATTCTGTTAGATATAAAATCCAGGCAGTTTATTTGAAATTCCAAATTTGATAGCCGAGACAGAAAAGCGTGTACATACTTAAGCTCTTTTGAAAAGGGGCTCTCTTTTGCTCAGAGGATTACGGACAGAGTGCAGTGTCTTTCCCCGTCAAAGTACTGACTGAAAAGCAGCAGCAACAACCTGGCCTCTGGTTGTGCACCTGCATATAATGATGGACCAAATTTTACAGAAATCAACATAACAGGTCCCTGGTTTTTATTTAGGTGCTGATTTAATATATTTAAAATAAAATAAAGTGCAAAATAAATTTTAAAATTAAAACTCCAACATTCAAAAGGTAAAATAATTCTCTGTCAACATGACAAAGGTTGACTCCCCATTGCCACTGAATGTAATGGCACAACACTTATATTATTACTTAACATTTGTTTAAGACTTCAATAACAAGGCAAAAGCTATCTGATGTATAGAGTACTATACTTTAAGGGTGCATCTAGACTGGCAAGATTTTGCGCAAAAGCAATAGCTTTTGCGCAAAAACTTGCCAGCTGTCTACACTGGCTGCTTGAATTTGCGCAAGAGCACTGACGTTCTAATGTAAGAATTCAGTGCTTCTTGCGCAAATACTTTGACACTCTCGCTCAGGGATAAGCCTTCTTGCGCAAGAATACTTGCGCAAGAGGGCTAGTGTAAACAAGCACCTTAATTTTTTGCACAAGAAAGCCCCATGGCTAAAATGGCCATCGGAGATTACTTGCACAAAAGCACGTCTAGATTGGCACGGATGCTTTTGCGCAAAAGCACTTTTTGCGCAAAAGCATCCTTGCCAATCTAGATGCTCTTTTGTGGAAATACTCTTAATGGAAAAACTTTTCCGTTAAAAGTATTTCCGCAAAATCATGCCAGTCTAGACATAGCCTAAATGGTTATCTTCAAATTGATCATCACTGCACCATAACTAGAGAGGAGGGTCTGTCCTGTACCTCTAAGAGCCACAGCACAGAACTCAATGCCCCAAGGTGGGATGGCTATGGTGACCTTAAGACCCCCATGTCCTCCCAAATCCTGGCTTCTGCACAGACCATTTATGTATGTATGTATGTATTTATTTATTTGAAATATTTTTACCTCACTTCTCTATTTAAAATATTCGAGGCAGCTTACAAAACATTTAATTTTTTAAAATGATAGATAGATATGAATAAAATAAAGGGGGGGCATAAAACTTGCTAAAACACCTCAGGAAGAGGGGAACAGTAAGAATGTTAAGGACTAATCGACTACGCCCCTTTGTTGCCTCTATCAAATAGGGGCAGCAAAGTGGGTGGGGAAAGAGGGTACTTCAAAGCAGCAGCGCCACACAAAGCCCGTACCCAGGCTCCGTGCGGTGCTGCCGCTTTAAAATGCCATGGTGGCTTTTTAAAGGGGCAGCGCCACACAGCTGATCCTAGGCTCTGTGCAGGGCTGCCCCCTTCAAACACCGCTACAGTATTTAAAAGAGGCAGCATCACATTGAATCCGGAATCAGCAGGGAACACCCCTTGCTGACTCCGGTCTCCCTCAGGCATTTCCACAGAACCCAGAGTCAGCTAGGGACTCCCTAGCCGATCCCAGGCTCCAGCACAGCATTTCAAAGCGCACAGAGCCTGGGGTCAGCTGGGCAGTCCCCAGCTGATTCCAAGTCCCGGGGAATGCTGCACAGAGCCCAGGATCAGCAGAGGACTCTGAGTCCCCCATTGACCCCAGGCTCCATGAGGGACTCTTGTATATTTGAAAGCTGACATGGTGCATGCAGCCCAGGGCCAGCAGGAAGTCGCGCTGACTCCAGGCTCCACACGGGTGCTTCTGCTTTGAAATGCACAAGAACCCCTGGGGGCTCTTGTGCATTTCAAAGAGTAAGCAGCCTCATGGAGCCCAGAGTCAGCGTGACTTCCCACTGGCCCCAGGCTGCACGCAGAGTCCCACATTCCTCCTTTGAAATGTACAAGAGCCAGGTCATTCTTCTTCAGGAAGGGTCGCAGCTGGCGGATCAGTCGAAGTTGCCCAAAAGCACTACTGGCCACCAAGGAAATTTGGTTCTCAAATGTTAAAAAATGGTTCAGGATGACTCCTAAGCTGAATACCTGTACTTTCAGGGGAAGTATGACCCCATCCAGAGCTTTCTTGTTATGTCAGCCTGTCCCCAGTTCCCTCTAGGATCCCAAACGTCTGCAGTAAGCATTAGTGATCCCTCTAAGATTTTCCAACCATGAGTGGAGTGAGTTTTGGCTTGTTCACCACTATTGAGGTCATGCTTTCTGGTTTGGATGTATGCCACCATGGAACCCCAATTTATCCTGGATGCTGGAGCACAAACCCCCCTCCAGCTGCTGCACAGCTCTCCAGAGGAGGTGGGCGGGGGAAGAATTTTGTTGTGCATTGGTAAGGATGTAAAACTCCATTTAATCAGTTAACCGGTTAAATGTTATGTTTAACCAGTTAATCAATTAAATGCGAGCAGGCAGGAGAGCCCACTCCAGCTAGGTGGGGTCTACTCTGGCCAGGTTGGGGTATCCCCCAACTGCCCCTGCCATGGGCAGGGGCTACTCAAGCCAGGCTGGGGACTCCGCAGGTGGGGCTACTCCAGCCCATCCAGATTGCTAGTTAGCTGTAACCAGTAAACATCACCAAGTAAGGTTGATGCTTAAATCATAGAATCATAGGACTGGAAGGGACCTCGAGAGGTCATCGAGTCCAGCCCCCCGCCCTCAAGGCTTACCACTTAACCATTCACATCACTAGCCTTCAGCTCCTACCCCACCCTTCAATACACCCTTCCTGCAATCAGTCCCAAGTCAAGCATGATCCCTGTGCTGGAGCTGACAAAAGGATCCTAGTAAGGTAGCCTTGCAGTTGTCCTTGAGTTCCCATGCCCTGATCTATACACACACAACACCCTGCTCTACACTGACCATAACTGACTGTACTACTAAATCAAGTGAGAAAGATTCATATAATCAAGATAACATCCTTTCCTTCTATACTTTATCCATCTGTATATAAGGAAAGGTCAGTTACACAAATAAAAAATGGGAAATGACTGCCTAGGAAGGAGTACTACAGAAAGAACAGGTGGACATAGTGGATCATAAGTTAACTATGAGTCAACAATGTAACATTGTTGCAGCAAACTAAACCAAACATCACTTCAGGAGTGTTGCAAGCAAGAAACAAGAAATAATTCTTGCACACTGCTTGCCACACTGAGGCATGTTCCTGGGACGACATTTTTTTAAAAAAACATGTTTTCTTTCTGTCCATATTGTATCTGTGATACAGATTGGGGAATCTTGGGTTTCCAATCTGGCATGTCTTAAAATGAAATTGTTTCTTATAATTTTTCTTTTCAGCAACAAAAGGACTCATTTAGTATATTGGCTAATTTACTCGGGTTTTTAAATATCACACCATTCCAGTATTAAAATAAGAAATGTTCAAATAAAATAACTAATAATTTCAAAAACTGCGGGGAAAGAACAAAGTAGATTTTAATCAGGAGAATGTATTTTGGTATGATTTTAGGACCAGGGGCCCAAGTTTTTGTTTATGGCTCATGTGCTAATGATCTGAATAAGCTTTTTCAAAATGAGTGAGAGCAAATATCTCATTGAACCACACATTTGTAAAACTATTCATAAGAGGGAAATACTTGGAAAGGAAAAAAAACCTGAAAAATCAATTGAAAACGAGTGAGACTCCCTCCACACCAGTGAGATTAGGCAGAAAAAACAACTCAGCAGCTCACATTTATACTGCACTTTTCCTCTAAAACGTGTTATGTACAAATTACAGGTTATCTGCAAAATGCAGCTGCCTCTGGGGTGGTGGGCGGCCATTGACAACACCAGGGACATCACAAAAGGCAGGGGAGAGTGATGCTAGAAGGAAGGACTTTTATTCATTTTTTTTAAACGGGGAGGATGTTCAACGTTCACCGAGGGCAGAGGCAGGAAAGCAGTTGTTAAAGGCCTCCTCCTACGCATACAGTTACACCCCTCACCCACTAGGCAGATGCAGCCAACAGAGGCAGAGGGGGCAGCAGAGCACAAACCTGTTTAAAACTCCTTGCTGTGCGTGGGGAGAGCGGAGGGCAGGAAATGCACGAGCAGGAGCATAGGGGGGCAGTGTGAAGGGTGGTGGGAATCCCTAGGGCGCGGCTGCGGGGTAGCAGCCCCGGCCTGGGCGCTGCATAATCCCGCAAGTGCATGATATGTAGCTCGGTCTGTGCAGCAGGGCAGCCCCCCCCCAACGGCCACGTTACCTGATTAAGGCCACTACTCTCATGCTGCTCGCACCCCCCGCGCTGGGCTGACACTAAGGGGAAGGCTGAGACACGCGGGCGCTACTACAGGCTGCAG